AACCAGGGCACACATTCAGCCCTATCCCCAAATCTACGAACCCCAGCCCCTTACGAGTCTAGCGGTTCGGTCGGAGCTCGATTTCTCAGGTGCCGCTGATCAGTTTGTATAGTTCCCTCTTAGTCCCTAGTATGACCATAGTATAACAAAGTATGAATATAAAACCTTAATTGCTGATACTGCCAGTCGTGTCAAGGCTTGGCTCCTTTCAGAGACTGTATGTGAAAGGGGCCTGCATAGTTCGGACGGGGCTCGGGGGGGGGCATTATATGACAAGGAAGTATGTATGTATGCATGTACGTATGTTGTATGTAAATAAATCACAAAAATAATAGCTATATATATATATATATGTGGACTATAAGGGAATGCTTCTACGAATTGTTCTGAACAATGTATTAACCACCTAGATCACCAGCGTTCAGGTGTCTTTAGTTTCTTACGCTTTCGGGGCTAGGCTTCGGGTTTCACCGACGCCAGCACACCGCTTAAATTACGGGTTCTAGGCGTTCCGAATGTCTTGGCAATGCACGTGCGCTTAAGGAGTCCTTTTTGGGATAGTTTGCTATGTGCTGGCACAAACACAAGTACTGTGCAAAACGGCCGAACGACCAAATTGTTAAACCCCACACACTACGATGCAAATCAGGCGCCCACAGCCGGTAACCCGGAACTTCGAATCCAGCCCCAAAGCACAAGCCTGCCCTACACCTACATTCAAATTTGAATGTATATGTATATACACAGATATCTTACAACAGCAAAAACTCTGGACGCGGCAAAAACTCTAAACTCTAATCACATGGTTCATAATACAAGCAGAGCCCAGCCCTTCGTCCCTCCGGCCGTGACAGCGGCCGCAAATCGAGCCCACCGGCGGCCTGCGTGGATCCAAAAGCTCTTTGAAGCAGTAATATATTCGGGGCCTTAAGAATTAGAATAGGGTTTTGGGGTCCCTTATACTACCAGTATACTTATAGTAGGGAACCCCCAAAAGTATATTTAATTATTGCATGAGGCTTCTATAGTAGCAATCCTAAAGCCTAAACCCAGCCCAGACAATCTATACGGAAGCTGCCAGATGAAGCACTCAGTTCGAAGGTTCGTCGACCCGAAACACTGGGAGAACAGATAAAACCCAACTGCAACGCACTCATGGGACGACTGCTTGCATGCAGGAATCTGTCGACAGCAATAATGCAGCTACTGCCATAAGAACGACCCACGTGAGATCTTTGCAAGTGTGCGTGCTAGAGCTGGTATCAAGGCTTCAAAGCTGGCAGAACCAACGACCATGAACGACAATTATTCGATCACACGCTCAGGGCTAGCGACATGGAAAAAAACAAAAGCTACATGCACCAAGCTCGACCACACAGGCCCGACTTTTTGCTTGGCTTCCGCAAGAGAAACAAACTAGATCCGAAGGCATGTGGCTTGAAACTCTCGCACGAGTGTAGCCGCCTTCAAAACAAGCCGCTTGAAGATTGGGCATTCATCTCCGAGTGATGCCGTCAGCATTAGGCCCGTCAAATCTTCGCATATTGTATCACATGTTGTTTGCACTGGACTGAGTCAGAAGCGCCTTCGCCGAGACGTGGCAGTAGTTTCCGCGCCGGGCATGCGACCGGCGTGAGCTGCCACACGGCCCTGCAACAGCACTGGATGGCAGAATCAGGAGACGACTTGTTCTGACGGCTTAATCATTTGACTTCACGCAGGCTAAGGTCTTGCCGTATGCGGGGTCTCTTTCAGAGTTAGGGCTTGCGAGGGGTCCTGGGGCTTACAGAGGTGGGTTTCGTTTCGGCCTGTTGTGATTTGTGAAGATTTATAATCGGCATCTAAGCTATGATAACTCTGATCAGCAGGCCTCCTCAATGTATCAGGTGCAATTATACCGTCTCTGAAGTCCAAACCCTTAAGCTTAAACCCTAAACTCACTAAAGTCCTAAGCCTATACGCTCAAGCCCTGAAGTCCTGAAGCTTTCAACCCAAAACTCGGAAAACCCCCAAACCCCAGAGTCCTAAAGCGCCAATGCCCCTCATAGCTCCCTAAGCCCCAGCAACAGGTACCCGGGAATCGAAGCCAAGGATGATGTAGGGCCTGACTAACTAGAATGGTGTCTTAGGGGCTGAGTACCCTAGCCCAAAAAAGGGTTAACCTTTATAAACCCCAAAAGGTTCAAGGTTACCTACTTAGCCACTAAGGTGTTCCGGGGTCTACCCTAAACCCCTCTTTGCAGCTGGGCCCCGGCGATCCCCACCCAAAACCCCAAAACCCTTACACCCTAAACCTTGGTTCCTGCCCTAAACCCTAGACCCACTGTAAATTTCAGTACGGAAGCTCTAGGGACTGATTCAAGAACTAGGCCCCTAGCTTACAAACCTGAGCTCCCTGACAGGTCAGGGTCAGGACTTTGCACTTTATTTACGGCGTAGAGGGCTTAGAGCTTCTGAGGGCTTCAGGGTTTACGGGAGTTGGGCTTAGGTTCTTGTTGTTTACGCCTTTTTGGGGTTCAGGAGAGTAGTGTTCGAGAGCGGCAAGCCTTGTGTTGGAAGGCAATCCCAGCTCCATGCGAGGGCACGGCAACAGTAAGCCTTTGAAAATCGACCTGGACGCTGGTTCGGTGATACCTCAGTGGTATACTTTTCCAAACCTAAACCCTAAACCCTAAACCCTAAACCCTGAACCCTACTTGGGATCCTCTGAGACAAAATACGGTGACCACCACAGGACAGGCGTTTCAGGGACTCAGTAGGGGTGGACGGACCTGTATGGCTGGGCTACGAATCATGCGTTTGGCGAGGCGCCTGGATTTGAGAGATCTTCGGAGTAGAGGTTTTTGCATGCGGGTCTAAGGCTTCAGGGTCTTGCATATTCAAGGTGAGGAGTACTTTTGTTCTGCAACGGTCTGGTGCAGTTTGACAGTAGAAGATACCGTGGTGAGGTTTATGAGCCTTACGAAGTCAATCTGACCCCTCAAAGATAAAATCGAGAATCTAGGCTGGAGGGGGTGACACTCTGGGCCAGACCGCCAGGCAAGAATGTGCTGTGGCGGGCTTGAGCCGCATCGGTGCATCAACTCCGCCATGCGAGCTTCGGGGTTTTTGGGGTGAACAACCCCGGAACCTGCCGAAACTTCTGGGAGCTCCTTATGGAAGCTTTGACTGGGCTCTCGAAGCATGAGCGCTCTTCAGTCAGTATGAGCTGTGAACCCAATCATGAGAGGACGCCAGAATGGATTACAAGCCTGCTTTCTGCAACAGCTACACTTGAAGAGGTGCTCCTTTTTCAAATCATAGTCCTATAAGTCTCATAAGCCCTATTATTGTGAAAATGCAACAATCTGGAAGCAGGGCACAAGACTTCATCTCTACGGTGAGAGCAAGGTTTCAAGCTTGTGCCTCTAGTTGTGTGAACCCTAAACCCTAAACCATAAACCCTAAAGCAGGGCATGCAATCCGAGATTTAAGGCTCTGATGGCGTGAGTGTCCGGGGGTCCTTCTACGTGAGCCTCGCTTGTGGTGCCTGAAGCGTCTGTCAAGCCCCAAGAGAAAAGAGCTTTCGGAAATTTAAGCGCAAGCTCGTCTTGACATCGCGTGGTACGGCTTTAGGAGGGCATGTCCGGGGCGAGCCTGGCCTGGGGTGAGGGTTTAATTAGGATTTATTCTCACGGCTCCATGTTGTTCGGAATTACAGGACCAACTTCCCCACGTCCTATGTAGTCTAAACCCCGATAAACCCTGAAACTCGGAACGCAAAGCCCTCAGACCCCGAAAACCCTTCAAACAATCCCTACCCATAGGCCCCATAGTAGTTCCTTTTGGGGGTTCATATTTCCCTATTAAGTAATCCCAAAAAGGAACTACTTTAGGGCCTATGGGTAAGCCCATCGACTCAAGGACCAGCTTGGTCCGAGATGTTTTCCAGCAGCTGAGCAGCTTGGAGGTGTCCATAGGACCGTAACTCTTTAGGTTTTTGGTTGAACTACCTTTTTAGGGTTCCTTTATTATGATTTCTTTATGTAAGTCCTTGAAAAGGTAGGTTATTTGGGGTTAAGGTAGGGTTATGTAGGGGTTTTGGGTTTAGAAAAGTTTAGAGCCCGAAGGATCAAACCCAAACTCAATAGCTTCAAGACATGGTCGTCTTGGGCTCAGGGCTTACGAAGGTCCTTCGTCTAGGGCTTATAAAACTTATAAACCACCAACTTCAAACTAAGCCTTCAACCCCACCCCAACCCCTTTGCCACTCCGACTATCTGTCGATCTGTGGCACACGAAATATTCTGCGCTAAAGCTCTTTGTAGGCAACCCTCAAAACCCTTAAGCCCTTTGGGCTCCGTCAAAGAGCCGCTGGCTGCAACTAGCTGCAACTTAGTAAATAGGTCTTCGGGCTTGGAGGAGAAGATGGAGCTATGAGCATGAGCATCCGTAGGCTTACGGATCCTCTACAACTCTATCAGAAGCCTCGAACGCGTGAAGTACGAAAATTCGTGCACATGCAAACCCCTCTGTACAGGGCCAGAGTCAGCCGAAGCCATTTGGCAAAGGCATGTGACGGGTGAGCCTGACTAGTAGTCCTACAGCCCATGAAAATTAAGAGATGGAGCTTTCGGGGGTGCTTGATTTGCGGCTGTGGGGCTTTGACTGGGTGCGCCTGGGAATTACACTTTCGGTTTCCTGCTGCCCCGAACCTAAACCCTATAAACCCTAAGTCCTGAACCCTGGCCCCTAAGCCCTAAACCCCAAACCCTAGACTTCATGTTGCTGTCAATCCAAAGCCCGCTGTCCATGCTCTCGAGCCGAGCTTCAAAAGCCCCTTTGAAGGCCAAGGTAAGGGCGAAGGGTTTTAGGTTGGTTGGTTGGCTTGATTTCGACTCTCACCCTCGCACGCAGCCTTGGCTTGATTTAGGGTTTAGGGTTTAGGTTTAGGGAGTTTGAAGTTGTGTGACTTGGTGACTTTGTCGGGTGACTTTGTGCCTTCAAACGACAAAAAGGGCTCAAACCGCCAGCCTCTCTAAGAAATCCTTCACCTGGGCGACTTTGGCCGCATCCTCCATGTGCTGTCGCTCCCTCCGCCTGGGCACATGCCAGCCGCTTCTGTGACGTGTACAGGGTTCTATAGGGGGTTGTACGGTGTAGGTGTCGAGGTGTAATCTTCACCGGCGGCGTCTTCAGACGTTCCAGATTGTCTAGTTACGGCTCGAAGCCAATCGGCTTAGACTTGTCTGCTTTGGAAGCTGATCCCTTGGAGGACTTACAGATACACAGAAGCTGCTGCTCAAACTCTGCACATACGAGCCCCTCGGATGAAACGCATTGCAGGCAGTCCCCGCATCTAGATGAATTGCTGAAAATGTGTTCGACTCTTCAACGAATTTCTCGTAAGTACCATCCTCTATACGAAGCCGTTACTAAGCTAAACGCTGTTTTGGGTTTCTTGTTAGCTCCGGGTGGGGTAATTGCTCGAAAAGGATCGCCTCGCACTTGGAGATCCGCCCCGTCTTCATTCGAGCCGATTCGAGCGCAAATTTCAGAGTTCCCTCCGGCGAATCTGAAACTTCCCGATGCCACACAGCTTGCCCACACAAACTCTAAAGCAGCATCCCGAGCTCAAAAGCCGAAACACCTAAGCCCTAAACCCTAAACCCCAAGCCCTAAACCCGAAACTCCAAGCCCTAAACCCCAAACCCTAAACCCGACACATTCGTCGCATCAGGGCGACCGAATCTCCTCCCAGTCGGTGGCTTCCTGGAAGGCGCATTTTGGGTTCAGGCCTTTGATCTGAAGCTGAAGCCCATTGAACATGGGGGCCTTGAGAACTAGAAGAAGGGTTTTGGGGCACATCATTATCAGCATTACGATTATTGCTATGATGATGCATATAATAACTCATAGTCCTATTATGGAACATGAAGGAACAATATTGGCCGCTATATTCCTGGAGTTGGGCTCCCATGGGGCATTTTTTTTGATATCGGTGCTCCGTGGTATGTGAGGTTTCGGGCATGAGGCAACGCAGGTCCACAGTCGGCTTTTTGTTTGCACCACCTGCTCTCCCTCAACCAGGCCAGATTCACCCCAAACCTACGCCATAATCGCCCATGTTGAGACACGAGTGTCAGTGCTGCTGCTGCTGCTGCTGCTGCTGTTGCTGCTGAGACTCCGACTACGACGAGGATGGAAAGTATGCCACGCCTATCTGTGGATTACAGGGATAGTATGCTGTAACTACATATTCATCCGGCGGCCTGTAAAAAGCCAGCTTGGAATCCTGTGACGGATTTTCGGTACATTTCTGAGCTTGAACTCGCAAGGACAAAGCCCGCATGTCACATTGCTGATTTAGATGAAGGGGACGGGGATGAATGGCTTTGGATTCTATGAAAGCGGGCTGTTGACTTCGGGGTCTAGAAGGGATGAAGCGGCCGTAGCTGCCCAGGCGGCTTTGCTGCTCGCACTCAGAAGCTCAGAGTTCTTCTCTCGTGCCCGTCTGCGGTAGACGATCGGCAGTGGCCCGACATGACAAAACACGCTCATCTCTAGGAAGATGCTGCTACAAGCTCCCCGAAGTCACCGTTTGGCTGAACCTTCCAACATTGCATGTGGGAGATGCCATGTGCTTTGAACCACTTCTTCAACAGCTTGTCAAATCTATCTCGCGAGATCACCTCAACCTTGCCATTCACAATCTTCTGATACTTGGGATTCTGCTGATGAGGCATCCTGCTCGGAAGCATGTACGTGATCGCAAAGCGACCGTACCGCAACTGAAACTTGCATTTGTCATACACGATGTCTTCATATAGATGACAGTATGGCTGGGAGGGTCCGAGTCTCTCCTTTTCAGATTCGGGCACGCTATCCAGAATCACCTTCTCTGCAAAGAGGTAATGGCGACCATGCTCATCCACCGCGAATGTATACGGTACCGAACTGAGGCCGACTGGAGATGCAAATTTCACAATGTCTGACATCGCTGTGAAACCAAACATATCCTTTCCGATGAAGATGTATTCCTTGTCACATCTCTTCCTTAGGGGCTGAGTACCCTAGCCCAAAAAAGGTTTTCCTTTTCAGTTATGGTAGGACCATATAAACCCCGAAAGCTTAAACAAATACCTACTCAGCCACTAAGCTTCAAGAGGATGGCGTTGCCATCCAGGTGAGGTCCGAACCCCAAGCTGCGCCAGGTTAGGTCTTCCAACTCGCTCCTTCCAATGAACACATCCTTCGGGGCTGAGTACCCTAGCCCAAAAAAAGGTTAACCTTTTGAATTATGGTAGGATCATATAAGCCCCAAAAGGTTAAAGGTTACCTACTCAGCCCCTGAGCATCCTCCACTTCAATGTCGAGCACCGGCGAAGCAAAATCACGTAGCCTGGCGCCGTATCCGCCTGACAAATCCCGCTCTTCTTCGCTCTCGCTCTCCAAACGCCGACTCTTCCTCTTCGGTGGATCTGTGGTATCTTCATCGTCTTCACCTTCCAACCAGTCTTGTCTCCCCTGCGGCACAACTCTCTGTACAGGCCCTTCAACAGCTCGCCCCAAACTCCAAAAAACACAAAACACACACACACACACACTGTGAACGGGTTGGCTGCCAAGCTTCATACCATTCCGACCCTTCCCATTCCTTCTCCCAGTGAGGAAACACTGTAACTCTTCGCGTTTTACAACGGCAAAGCAGCTCCACCAGGAATGGGGTCCTGCCATTCCACAGTGTTACGTAGCGCTGCGGTCGTTGGACCTCGGTTCTCGCCACCACCACCGCTGGCAAATCCAGGTCACATAGCCTTAGGGGCTGAGTACCCTAGCCCAAAAAATTAAAAAGGTCAACCTTTTAAGAGTTTGGTAGGATCATATAAACCCCGAAAAGTTAAAGGTTACCTACCCAGCCACTAAGTAGCCGGATCGTTGAAGGCAGCAACTCCCCCTTGAAGCGGAGGCCGCTGACTGACCGGCCCAGAGGGAGATGATTCTCAACTTCCGTCCATAACCTGGTTTTGAATTTTATAATTGTGAAAAAAGAATCAAGGGAATGATAAATATATTGATGAACTTACAAATGCACCAAACAATAAGAAATTTATGTTTGTTGGATCATGTCAGCGACCCATCTTAAAACGATGACGATACACAGCTCTTCTTGGCTTCCGGTCATGGACTTAGCTTGGGGGTTGTCAGAGTATGACGCGAAAAGACAGGTAAAAGTTTTGGCTTCTGGTCATTGACTTAGCTTGGGGGGTTGTCAGAGTATAACGTTAAATGACATGTACAAGTGGCCCAAGGCGACACCTACATAACCTGATTGTGCAACTCAAATACGCCATCTATGTATGATTGACTGTTGCCTGCTACTCGTGTTTCACCGGACCCCTAAACCCTAAACCCCCAAGGACCTCTGAAAGGCTTTACTTCATGACGCCATGGCCTGGCTGCCCTGGCCGCGGGTTCCAAGTCGTGCACTTTCAGCTCCAGCAAAACATCACCCGCTGCACTGCGGACTGTGACACGGTCCGACATGCTGGCACTGACGCCATCGAAGCGAAATTCATAATATGTGAAAAGCAGAGCGCAACTTCGCTTCGGGTGTTACACCTGATGTCTTAAGACGTCACAAGGTCTTTAGAGGTTAAACGTGTCCGAGCAGGCTGATCTCCGAGGGGCTGGCCAAGGGGTTCTTGAATAGTTAGCATAGGAGTATCCCCCCTTGCGTTGCTTATTATAAGCAAATGTTCTGTGTCATCTACCCCAAAACCCAGCGCTGCTTACTGAGGCATCTACACTGATGATCACCTCGCCTCCTGGGTGTGCTTCTGTTAAAGCTCAGACTTGAGCAAGAAAACAGCTGTGGTCTCCAGGCAAACCCTGTGCCACAAGCGAAGTAAAACCTTTAATATAGGGGCCTTAAGAATTAGAATAGGGTTTCGGCTGCCATTATACACTATAATTATAATACAGAACCCCCCAAAACAATATTGGTAATTATTTAGGCCCCTGTATGATTTGAGCCCCGGAGATGCCCGGTTGAGCGAACCGGTAAGCAATGGACCACGAAGGACTAGCCCTCGACCAATAGTTGGCTCCCACTTTGGGGCTGAGTACCCTAGCCCAAAAAAGCTTAACCTTTTTGAATTATGGTAGGATTATATACACCCCAAAAGGTTAAAGGTTACCTACTTAGCCACTAAGCCCAAGATTGCACGAGCCGCAAGTGACCCCTTTTTTAAAAACCCCCACCCGACAGCTTCCTGTACCACCTCTTCTTCCTCTTCCATCTTGGTCGCTGTGACCACTACCTGCCAAGGGCAATCTCCGTAGGATGAAAAGCTGCGACAAAGACGTCTGCAACTCTACAACCATAACGCCTCAAAAGTTCAGGCAAGACGGCGAAGTAGTGTAACTAGTGCACTACAGACATTGCTTCCAGGAGCTCACACACCCACAACAACTTGCGGATGCACTTCTAGCCTTGCGTTCAAGAACACCAACACTTACCCTATAAACCCTAAACCCTGCAAGCCCTAAAAACCCTATATAGCCCTATAAACCTATAACCCCTAAATCAGAAATCGCTGCACCACCTCGGTGGTCTGAAGCCTCAAGAAGCTAGGTTAGCCTGCTGACACAAGAACCCTAACGATGGAATAGTACTACTAGTGATACTAAAAGAATATTCGTCATATTCTATAAAAGGAGAATGGTACTAATTCTAATAATAACAGTGTAGTAGCATCTTGCTGGCGAAAGGTGTGAGCCTGAGCGCCGTGTGGTACGAATCCGAGCAGTACTGGCGTTAGAACTGAGGGTTGAGTACTTCCGCTGCTCGTACGGTGACTGTTTTTAAATATG